ATTATTATTAGTATTTATTATATATATATATATCTTATATATATATATATATATATATATATATATTGCGCGCGCGCGCAATTATATATAAACTTTCATTTCATTTTCATTTTTTCAAACTTAACTTTTGATAAAAAAAACAATGCGAAAATTATCTTTTCAATCATTTTTCTTGTATTTTCATTATTACTTTTCTTACACTAAACTGGAATTTTACAGAAGAAAAAATTAATATGAACATATATGAATGCATTTCGTATTTAACTATATACGTTTATTATATTTATATATATTTATATATATATTTATATATTTTTTTATATAAAAAATTTTTACTGGTTAGTATAAAATAATTGCGAATAAATTAATTACCTTTTAAAATTTATTTCATATGTTTGTTTATCTTTTTTTATACTTTTTTAGTTATTTTATATAATATATGATGTTAATATTATGTTTTTCTAAAAATATATGCTAATATAATGTTTCCTAAAAATCATATCATTGATTATAATTTTGTTCGCAACTCAGATTCACACCGAGAAAGCATTTAGCATTCCTGATCGTGGTAGAAGTGAGCGAGCAGAGCGAGAAGGAAGGATGACATTCTCTTTTTCGTTCCACGCATCAAACTTATTGTTAGTCGAGCGCGCATACGGATAGACGGAGCGTCTCTGTGTGCGTAAATGGAGGAGAAAAATCGCTAGCGTGCTCGGGCTCGACTTTGCATCACTGTCGGGAAGGGGTTATATTTTTAATATTTATGTAATTCTTTAATAATTTCTTCTAATGTTTTTTTTTCGTAATAAATAAAATATTTATTTAAAATAAAACATGTTTGTAATTTTTTAATACTTTATCATAAAGTATATCCTCGTTTAATTTTAATTAAGTTAATCAGTTGTAATTAAGTGTGCGTGTGCATGTGCATGTACGTATGCGTGTGCGTGCATTACTAAATAAAAAAAACAGGTTTCCTTCTATATAATAAAAAATTTTTCATATAAGTACATATGTAAATAATATATTTATATATAATATATAATCATATACGAAATTTGTAGATACATGTTCATATAGTTTTTTCTTTGTTAAAGTTTCTGTTTGGTAATAAAAAAATAATAATAATAATGGGAAGATATAAGAAACAATTAAAAAGAATAATTTTCGCATTAATTTTTTCTTCTGACAGAAAG